TGGGTGGATGCTGAACAGTCTGGCCACTGCTCTTCTTTGCTTTTCTGAGAACATCTATTGAAATGCATGCTTCCACATGTGCATGTGAACAAGTGGCTATTTATTTGCATTGCCTGATGGATATAAAGTAACACCAGAAAAAAAAATACCTTTTTGTTTTGTCATACTTTCTAAAAATCCTCCTTTTGTTCTAAAAACTTGCTCATATCCTCAAATAAATCATGCACAAATAAATCATAGCTATTAAACTAGCAAGGAGATGAAACTATGCTCTATGAACTTTTCAGAGTCTTCAACAAGTAGGAACAGGAGCAAACAAGAAACTTCAGCTGTGTTGTTATCCATAACTCAGTCACTCCATCCAAATCACAACCAAAATGGAAGAGGACCCCTGACCTGAGTCAAGAGTCTGTCTGTCTATCAATCACCTTAATTGCATTCGTTGGTCACAGATAGGCAGTGAAATGGGAACTTCCCATTCAGAGCAACGCACCTTCACACCATTCCACATGCCCCTCCCTGGAGACAACTTAATTCCAGCCACCTCATCAACACCTACATGTTGAAAGCCATTAGATGGTCAGGTAGATGAGCGGGATGAGAAAGTCCACCCAGCTTTATGTGGCTTGGATTATGGACCAAAGTCCTTAGAGTAAAGCTTGACAGTGCAGACACCTGCACACCAGAGCTGGAAACTGGATTTACATTGAAGGGAGGAGAAAATGCATAACCAAGGGCATCTAATTAGATTAGCTTTGGATGTCCCATAATTCAATCAATTAAAGTATGCTGTAATAGCAGGGTCTTTCATGACATGTATCCCAAGGCACCACACAAATAATAAAATTAATAGCTCATGTAATTATTATGGAGACAGAGCTACGACTTTCTACGTAAGATTTTATGCTTTCCACCATGGCCAGCCTGGTGCAGGCCTTGCTGCCACTAGTTGTACCACAAGAAATTCTCCTGTTGCAGAGTAAGTTTCAAAGAGACTAGAGTGGATCATCTGGTCCAGCCTCCCGGCTCAAGCAGGATCAGAATTGTGTCCAGATAGCTCTTAAATATCTCCAGAAAGAAAACTCAACAATCTGTCTGGACAGTCTGTCCCAGTGCATAGTTACCCACACAGTAAAGAAGTTCTTCCTCATGTTAAGGTGGAAATTCCTGTGCATCGGTTCCTGCCCGTTGCCTCTTGTTCTATTGCACAGCACCACTGAGAAAAGCCTGGCTCCAAATCTGCAGCTGTAAAATGTAGTTAGAATTCTCTGTGCATTTGAAAATAGTGCGAGGCAGACGGATGGACAGAAAGCAGTTCATCACCATGGACGTCGACCAGCTTGATGCAGCTCAACTTGTCACTTGCAAACAGTCCAGCACTGAACTCCACAGTCAGGACAGCAGTTCTTTGTCTGTGATGTGGTGCTGACTCCCACCCATCACTTTGTAGGCCAGTGAAAGTTGGTCAGTGAGTTCTAATCAGGGCAGTACTAGACTGGCTTACAGACTGAGCATTTTATCTCCTCAAACATCCTCCTAATTGGAGGCCATTCATATGTCATGAATTAGGATGCTGCCAGGGCAACCTGACAGCTGATGCTGTGTTCCAGGACATTTTCATACTGGGATAATACAAGATGAGATCTTTACTGACTTTAACCTGGGAAAACTCTGGTGTAGATCGGTGGAGCCAAAGGCCAATGAGAATTTGGATGTGCCAAAGATACTCAGTGCATCTCTAAATATTTCACAGCTGACATAAGGAGGCCATTATGCAAATTTTCATTATTACATTATGGTTCTGCATTTCAGACAGTTCAAGTTGTGCTCTTATTTAAATCTCCAGTATGGTTCATACACATTGTCAGGAGGAGATGCCTGACTGAAAAAATAAAAAAATAACAAACCAACAGACAAACCAGGACATCTAAAATCAAAACCAACTAGCCCCTATTTTCATTTACTTCTTATGAACAATCAACATTTAAGCTGATTTTACTTGAAGCCAACATGACATGGTCCTCTGCTGCAATCTAATATGCCAAGTGTTCTTTCCCAACCCCATGTTTTCAGCTGAGCCACGAGCCCTTTAACTCATGTTAGGGATATGACCAGCTGCTCCACCTTAACTGTCCTCACCAGTGTTGTCAGAGGCAACTAAAATGTGTTGTACTGGATGGCTGGGAAGTAATTCTCTATAGCTCAGAACCTGGTCAGATGACTTCTGCAACTTGGAATTATTTCCTATAAAAGGATCTGTGTTCTTCCTACACCACAGCTGTGACGAACCTTCCTGAGACTGCCGCACATCGCTGAGAGAGCTTTAAAGTTTGCAGCGATGCCTCTATAAAGTTCAAGATTAAAATGATCGTTTTAGGAAAGAAAACAAGGATAATAATCAGGGAAGTAAAAAACCCGACCACTTCCTACTCATCACTGCATCCCAAAGAAATTATGCTGTTCCTCCTTATAAATAATAGGGGTGTGCAACGTGTCATTCCTATTCAGTGTTTGTGGGTTTTTTGGTGCTTATTGATGCTGCATCTGTTTTGTCAGTGCGTCAGCTAATGGAGAAAGTTAATTGTGTTGGTTGTAAGGCCACCTGTCACACACATGCCTCATTTCCATACTAATAGCCCAACAGTGGCAGGCAGTGTACTCCTCTGCAGTAACACACACAGCCTCTTTGGCAACCTGGGCCAAATGTGCCTATGCAGCAACCGCAGCCGTCTTCTCTGAATGCCTCCAGTGTTGTGGCAACCCAGCTTTGCGTTAACCCCCCGCAGCCCTCCCCAGCCCAGAGGGGTTTTTCAAACCCTCGCAGACATGCTGGGTGTCACGTTTTAGTGTGGGAGGGTGGCAGGCACAACCCTGCTTCCATGACAGGATGGGTGCCTTGCACTCTTCTTGACCAGCAGAATATTTTCCTCCCTCTGCACTGTTGGATCAGGCACCTATGGCCAGCAAAACCTGGCGAGCACTGTCAGTAGTGCTGTTCACATCGGTGCTGAGGACCAGTTGAAAGTCCATCTCTTTTGTCCCTTCTGTTAACATTCCGAATGAGGGAAGCGATGCGGATCAGAGCCAGGAAGAGAAAACGTGCCTGCAGCTGAGGCAGACACAGTCATGCTGGGCTGCATTGGGACTCAAAAAGACGCAAATAAAATTCACTTTGGTGATCGAGCCAATGCCAGAAAAGCTATATTTAATGAATATTTTATTTTAACATATGGAAAACTATCCTGATCATCCAACGGGACAAGGGTTTTCTTCCTTCCTGCTTTCCCCCACCTTTTTTCATATAGAAGATTATGTGAGTAAAGGGATTTATTTTGAACTACCAGGCTTGCTCTTGATCGGGGTCCATGACCCTTGTTCATGTTTTCCTACAGCCTGAAAAAATTGTCTGTAAATCTCTGATGGAGTTTATGCTAAAGGCATGCCCAGTTAAGTAATACCTGGAATCTCAATGGCTTCAGGGGAAACTGGTCTTTGTGCTTTTTATATCACAGTAGAAGAAATTAGAAATGCCATATGCAATTGCTGGGCTTGCAAAGGAATGTTCCATTGGCTAAAAGGCAAGCAGTGCCTGAGTTGCTACTCCTTCACACCCTCTGTCTGCAATCATCTTAAAGAAAATACTGCATACATAAGGTACTGGCTAATGGTGTAAGCCGGTGACACAGGGATTACCATGCATGCATCCTGGTCAGGAAAGGAAATGTCTGTATCTATCATGCATGAAGGAACAAGCCAGAATATTCATTGCTTAGTCCATCTTAAATGCAAAGACGATTAATGGTCCAGAGAAGGTGCAGAGGTACAGCAGTACCTGATATTAGGCTCCCACCAGGCTAGAAGCAAATTTATTTCATCTGCAAAACTACACAGTTGTAGGAATTTCCTATTTCTGTATTGAGTTTCTTCAGCAGTGCCTGCAAGCATCTGTTTGGCAGAGGCTGTTGCTCCAGTTCAGCCTTGGGACTGAGGTGGGGTTGGGCATCTCTAGCCAGCCTCTTCATGGAGACTTCTGCAGGAAGATTTGGGCAAGCACTCACCCAAAGTGAAAGGACTCTTGGCATTGGAACTGGAGGGCTACCAAGGAGCTCATCCCAAGTCTCAGGCCAGACCTGGAATGACCCAGTGTCATCAGTGCTGTCTAAGTAACAGCAGGGTAAATGATGGTCCATTTTACATCACACACATTGTGACCTAAGCCCACACAAACATATAGTTTGTTAAAATCTTGAGTTATTCTTTTCACTTTCTTTTGGGATTTGAGCCCAGCTGCTCATTTCCTGTTTTCTCACATGATCAAGTGGGTCAGAAGCCTTCTCTTACTAAAACAGGAAGTTTCTCAGGCATAGTGCTGCTCAGATAAAGTGGAAACAAAACAGCATGTAGAAGGACAGTTGACTGCACTTATTCACAAAAAAGCAACCTATTCTAGAAATTTTTTTAAAGTGAATACTTTTAAAAATTCTGTAGAAAACTGTTGTACAAAAAACCACAAAAACAAAATAAAAAAAAAACAAACAACATATAAACCCTGTGAATATATGTCTACATTTTTTCTTTCTGCCTTCTCTCACATACTCTGTAGTCAGGTGACCCTGCTTGCTAGGCAGTTCTGTATCCTTTGAGTGAAGATGTGCTGATTAGTTTGAGAGATGTTGCACTGTGCCATAAAATAGGCTGTCTTTCAGGCTGCTGTATTCCATTATCACTATGGCTAGTTTTGTGGAGAAGACTACTTCAAAATATTTTGGTGTTTAGGTATGTTTATTAGTTTTATGTGGGTTGGCTGAGGTAAAACATCAGCCAAACTTTTATGGTTGCTTAAACTGTATAACCTGCTTATCTAGGGGACAAAGACTTCCTCTTCAGACTGTAGAGACTGCTAGTTCACATTTGGCTGAAGCAGGAACTTTATTCTATAAAAAAGATACTGAAGTGCCGCACAGACTTTTCTTATGAGAAATGTATGTCCAGCTTGCTTTGGTGTGTATGTGGACACTTGAAGCCATGCTGCTGAGGAGGTGAGCTCCCCTTTCCCCCTGCTCCAGCAGAGCAGAACCCACTCTATCTCTTGAGTAGGTCTGAGGAATTTCTCTTCTAAGTCTTCTAACTTGTCCCTGTATCACTGTTATTCTCTTTCTCAGGGAAAGGGCATAAAATTATCTGCAAAAAGGTAGCACAGACTATTTGGGACATAAGAGTATTTCTGAACTCCTGTATGCAGGCACATGCATCTACCACCTTCCAGATACACAAGAATTTGGAGAATTGACACACACTTGGAGAATTGACACACACTCTAATGGCAGCTTCTGTATTTCTGTTCCCAAGGGATGAAAGCTGGGTAGATCAAGGCAAGAAGCACACAGTTATTTCAAACAAGTCCACAGCCATAGACCCTATTTGCTCAACAATCTGGACATAGCCATGAAGGTTATCTGAACTTTAAAGCCAGAGACACAGGGATCCTTAAACATGGATTCAACTTCAGTTTTCTACTATTGCTAGCAGGCTGAAATTTTCTGAGAATTTTTTTTCTAACATAGCACAATCTTAGACTTGGATGTCTTAAGCTCCTGACATGAAGTTACAGATTAAAAACCAGCTGACAGCACTGCCAGCCTTTCTGGCTGTGCCAGTGATACTGGCACTTTGATTTGTCACCTAAACTTTGTAGCTGCTGATATCACAGTGATAGCACTTTGATAAAATGAGGAAATATAGTTTCCCACTCAAGTTCTGCCTTTTTCATCAAAAGCTTTCCAGTGTAAAGTCTGGCTCTTTCTAGATATGTGCATAAACCTGCGAAAGATTTATTTTACACACATGTGTGCATACATATCTGTATATATACATATATATACATAGATGTATATATATACATATATATATACATATATATATATACATATATATATAAGTAATTTTATATGTCTTTATAAACAGTTAATAATTATGCAATATATTTAGGAATAGTGGAAACAGATATGATTTCTAGAAATGGAAAAATAGTTATTTTTACAAAAAGTAGTGGTCCAAACAAAGCCATCACACAGTTTTCTATTCCTTTCAGTTCTTCTCTTTTCATGATCTTCTCTTTTCTTGAATGGAAGGCCAAATTTGAAAATCTGAATTTGGGCTTAGCAGAAGTTGTCCCTAAATTTTCTTTCCTCACACAAAACAATAGCATTTTACTTCTGGCATTTTTTTTTCCCCCAGAAATGCTAACATGGTTCTGAGACAACACAACAGGTGATCCTGTGCTTACACACCCATCCACCATACTGCATGCTGTGTTTTCTTCATGGATCTGCTGAGATTGTGTGATTGCATATAGAACCTGGCTCCATACAGTGTCACTATTGTTCTGGCCCTTTTTTTCCCCACATGAGTTTTTATGCTTGGCATATCTTGGCATTGTGAACCCAAGGTTTGCTAAAGAAGGGCTCAATTTACCTCTGATTTACCCCTATAAATCAACTAATAAACCATTGTAAGCACTGGTGTTGTTACACTTCATAGTGACAAAGGGGACAGAATATGCTGGTACAAACAGAGGCATTTCAGTACTGAGGGCTAAAATGAGCAAGATCCTCCATATTGTGAGGCTTCACAAGGGAAATCTAAACAAAAAACTTCTACATGTATGATTTCCAATGCTTCACTTTAATGTTACCGGTGACCAGCCAGGCAAGCTAAAGGGAAATTTATTCGTAAATACAGGTACTCTACCTCCACTTGTGACCTATCTTTGAGCTATCTTCATTTCTCTGGGTGTTCACTTCTTTATGTTGCTGTTTCCACAAATTAGTGTAGCCAGTCAAAAGTCATTTGAAGCAACCACCTTGGCATAGGTAAATCTATTAAAAAATATGTATTTTCTGGTATGAAATGTCTGCAATAGAGATTAGATTGAAGGCAGTCTAAAGATGTCATTTTCCCTCTGTACCATGGCAGCAAGCGGAGCCTCAAACCTGCCCCCCACCACCATACCATCTGTCTCCCATCCACCCTCCCCTGAATGACACTTGCATAGAAGGAGAAGCCACCTCTGCCAGAGAAGTGCAAGGAGGAGCCCAGGCTTTCAGGAAGATCAGGAATCAATCAGAGTTTTCACCTTATTCTGATACTGTTGTGTTTGTCCCAGTCAGACACAATCCCTCAAGCAGGGCTCATAGTCATGATACCATGGGACCCTTAATGATGATGAAGAGCTTCTTTCAGCTGCTTTTAGTGACAAAAGAAAGTCAAAACTATTCAGCCAATATCCAAGCCCTTATCGAAGCCCAAGTTATGTCTTTTGTTCCATCACCTTTTCCCAAAGAAAAATTTCCTAGCAGCACAGAATTGAAGCAAAACCAAATTTGGTGATTAACATTTGAGATATTAATTTTTCTCCTGAGGAATCCTTATCTATAAATGTTATAGTCTCTTTATATAAACCTAGTAATAAAGCAATTATCTAATTCTTCAGCCAGCCATACCAGGAAGTTCCTGCTAGGTGGTCCGCGGAGCTGGGTCATTAGCAGTCATCAAGAGGAACCAGACTGGTACTTCCTCTTCTTTAAGCTGAGTGGGGAAGGCTCAGTCGGGAAAGATGTCTCAGCCAAAGGAAGTGTCATTCTCTTTTAACACTACATAATACAGCTCGGGTGCCTGCCAAATCGTAATACACTGGAACAGACGGAGACAGAGTGCCGAGGGAAGGGAAGTGCAAACTGCATAAGGCTGCAGCATCTAGATGAGAAACTTTCCTGCACTGTCAGGAAATCTTTAATTTTCCAGTCTATGAGAATGTTTTGCTTATCTTTTCTGGTTTCATTTTTTTCCTTTCCCCTCTACTTTTCAAGGCCTGGTCTCTTGGCATTCAGCCTAGCCTGATGAAGCACACAGGGTTCTGGTATTACAATACTGCTTTTGTTCATTGAGTAGCAGAAGATAACTGTGTTCTGCTTATGTAAGTGCTGTTTACAACATTGATTGCACTAAAATAATTTTATTTTAAAAGTTGGTGATGATAATACTATAAAGAATTATTGGAGTTTTTAGTAATAAATGCCAACAGTAGCATGATTGGGATATTCAATTCATACACCAGATTTTAAGACTGGTGTCAGCATGAGCTCTACTCTAAAGGCAGCATGCACCATCCTTTGGAGGTGCTTATGCAATACTCTGCACCATGTCCAGACACTTTCGTTGATAAGAAGAGTCGAGATTTCATAATTTGTTACAAGATTGTAATTTTGTCCCTGTTACACTTGTGTCATAATAGTAGATGACTTCACACAGATAGGCAAACAGGTTCATTACATTTTTTGTACAGAATACATGTCAAATACCTCACTTCAAAGTGGCAACATCTTCCAGATGGACATATAGCCAGTTGTACAACCATAATGATATTAGGCAATTCTATCCGTACCCAACTGACTGAAACAGAGGATTCTTCCTGAGACAAAGATTTTCTGACAGTCACAGAACCATAAAATGGTTTGGACTTAAAGGGATAAAAAAGATCATCTAGTTCCAACTCCTCTGCAACTTTCCATTAGACAAGGTTACTCAAAGTCCCATCCAATCTGGCCTTGAACACTTCCAGAGATGCGATACCCACAACTTCTTTGGCAGTGTCTCACCATGTTTACTGTAAAGAAATTAATCCTAATAGCTAAACTAAACCTACCCTCTGACCTACAGCAATCACAGCAACCAGTTGGAAAAGAATCTGATTTCTAGTAAACATTACAACATGGTGGGTAAAAGAAGAGAAGCATAATGACTAAGTAGACTCTTAAGTAAGAAGAGACAGCACTGCACTGGTGATGGATAATAATTGCAAGAAATTTCCTCCTTTCCCTGACATCAGCCTTTACTAGAAGATTTGGTCTCACAAACTGAATTAAAAGGTCTGGCATACCATGTAAGCAATCTGTATGTGTGCAGCCTTCCTTTTAACAGACAGAAATTTTTTAAGACGTGTTCTAAAGTATTTAATACCTAACTTTGATGTGCACAAGAATACCAAGTGCCAGACAGAATACAAGTGCCAGACAGAAACAAACTCAACACAATTTGTCCCTGCACACTTCAGGTACTAGGGCTTCCCTCCAACTGGAGACAGGCCATCATGCTTCAACTTTTCTCATCTTTCCAAAAATTTGCCCTCTGAAGGTACTGAGAATCAGATTTTTCTGTCCACAGTTTAGCTCCATCTGTGTTTCCAATAACTTGTACTCACTCAAAACACCAGGGATCAAATTCTTATCTCTTCTGTGACTGTGGAGCTGAAACAGCATTCCTCTGAACCAACAGAAACAATTTGGCATCAGACATGACCCCAGCACATGAACATTTCTTCCCACATGTGGTTACAGGTGATCAGACCAGTGAGGTTGGACATCCAGGATTAAACTCTATGCTTTGTCTTGTCCAAGCCCACAGGCAACACTTCAGCAATAGTACTTTCTCCACTTTCCTTCCTCCACTTCCCACTGCAGTTTTCCCAGTCCCAGGACTACCTCTGTTTCCTCAAGTGTGAAAGAAAGGGGTCAATCTGGAGGCTCCAATAAGTGAGTATTTTGGGGCACCCCTGAAGGCAAAATGACATCTGCATGCTTGACGCTATAGAATGAGAGCACAATGCTTTAAAGCCTCTCAGAAAATCTACAGGATAGTTAATATGATTTAAGCCTATATTTAAATTTTATGAGACTCATTTTCAAGGCTAATAACCCAGTTTACTGTGCACAATATCAAATGCAAATTTTATTACTGACTTGGTAAAAACCAAGATGATATTCATTAGCATATCTCAGCGCATCACCCTTTTTAGCCAAAAGGTGCACCAGGAGTAACAGTGGGAGTTTTTATATGTGCTGTAAATTACAGTTACTATCTCATTAGATAAACACATTTAAAATCAGGTTATCATTCACTTATATATCAGAAAGTTGTTTGTTCAATTGCAGCTAGTCTCGCATTACAACATATGGTGCATGAAATTCTTAGACTAATAAAATTTCAAGGTACAGGGAGCTGGTGCCTTGGAAAAAACTGTTTCTGCTCAACAAATGGCTCGATATAATCTGTAATTGCTTTGAAACAATTATGCAGCAGGCTGTTTTGTACTTAATAGTATTTACATCCTTGGGTTTATTAGCAACAAAATCTAAGTGGAACTTGTGAAAGAGAAATTAATTTTTCTGCTAAAAGATGTAAAGTTTTAAGTTAAAGATCCAGCAGATTGTGGAAATCTAAAATGTATGCAATAGTCTCTAATTTAGCTTATTTCTCATTGAAATGTTTCATTATTCTTTTAGATACCTGTGGCAGATTATCAAGTAACTCTTCAGCAGCTGAGTTCCCCTGAACTTTCACCACTCCCGACAAAGTTTAGGGTTTCTTTCTTCAATGCATGCACTCTGGCTTTGCTGTCTCCTGGAACTAAACAATACAAATGTCCACATACAGTATTGAAAATTCCTGTGCCTGTGAGGTTTTGCCTACTAAGTTTGACAGTGGTGACTGGAACATGAGTCAGCATTTTGTACTTTATATGCTGGCCACGGAGCAAGCATCTCAGTACACAGTGACACGGAGAGGTGTCCTGTATGCAGAGCGACAGTTACGCATAAAAGCTGCATAACAGCTTTGGATCAGACTTTCCTGTGGTATGCTGGAGCTTCAGCAGTTTCAGCGAAACCCAGCCAGTTTGCAGAAGCATTGGGGTTATACCTGACTGAAGTACTTAATTACTCCTGCCATTCTGGGCATATCCACATATGCTCTGCTGATAAAATACAAATCATCATATACAAACCTAATGTCAAGTGTATTATTTCAGTGTTCAGTTAGGAGCAATGAACTGCACACTACTGCCTCATTGCATGGCTCCTACTGAGCTCAAATCTGTGAGACAGCTTGAGGGCAGTTACACATTTGGGGGTTAAGGTGGTTTTCTCGCCTTTTGTCATTAACTATTTTTCCTTCTTTTGTTTATGATTTGCCTACATTGTAAGCTGTCTCCAATGTTAAAGCTGCATTTTATAGAGACATCCTTTTTTCCTGACTGCTAACTCTGTGCAAAACAGTAGCAAAATTGAAGGCCAGATTGTAAGGAGGGCCCTGATAAAACAATTGTTCTCACTCTGCTCAGTACCACTAGCTTCAGGATGACTTCAACCAAACAGCATTAACACCTTTAAGTTGTTCTTGTACTAACATGTTCTTAAATACTGTTACTAAAATCTCTGCCTTGTGTCCAGCTTTATCTGTCTTACTCTTCTGCAGCGACTTCAGTATTTTTCCTGTTGCTGTAATCTGCAATGAACTGCAGTGAATTCCTTGCCAGAGCCCTCACTCCCACACACTCATGCCAGCTGTACCCCAGGATGATTACCATGTGAGAAGCACTTCCTATTACCATCGTATAGGAGGGTTTATTAGAGAACAATGTGATAAAACTTTGCCAAAAAAAATCCTCCCTCCTCCTTCC